TTTACCTATCCCGGTTTATTTTAAAACAAAGTAATTACACTAGAAGAAAAAACGCAATTACTGTAATCATTTGTTATCTCTAACTCGATGAACGTAACAGAGCGTCATGTGATCAACGTCACCTGACAATGACACGCTATTTTTTCACAACAAAAGAAAAAAAAGAGTATTTTTTATTCGTATTTTCTCTGATGTGGAGGCACTTAATTTGCCGCTGAGGAGTGTTTGTCTTTAGGCGCCGAGAGTTGTTATTGGTGTTGCGCCTTTATTTGTTATCAGACTATCCACTACATTTACCCAGCATGCATCGCTTGTTGCCGTCTGGAGAGAAGGAGTGACCATAGATATCCATGGGAGTGACTGTGTAGAAAAGAGTCAGCTAGCTCCCTTTAATATATGCTGCTGGTGTTACTATGTGTTTTTTCTGGATGAAGTAAGAGGAGGAAAAGCAACATCTTAAAGAAGGCAAACATATTAGACCCCAGCGATGCCTCTCTTCACCACCAATCCCTTTGACCAAGATGTTGGTGAGTAATAATCAGGCTAACAGGAGCAGCTGACATCAAACAGCTTTGTTTGGGTGTCCGCAGTTTTTTTAATGTCCCATTATTTATATAAAAAAAATGTTTTACAAAGCAGCGGTGGTAAAAAAAAATGCTTACATGTGTTTTTGTTTATTTTTATCAAGCTAATTGAGGTCAAAAGCTGATGCTGTCATCAGCTAACTGCTGCAGCTAATAATTTCTATGCTTGATGATTAGCTTTCTGTAGCTCACAGTGTTTGGGTTAACCAGCCTGAAATGAAATTAAATGGGATGTGGTGGGATCTAAAACCAGTGGGTTATGCTGTATTTCTCTTTGTTCTCTGTGGAATGGTTCACCACTTCATCTGCTTGTAGAGTAAGCAGGGAAAACCCCACTGAGCACCCTATAGAGCTAATAAGTACAGTACAATCCAACCCAGCCATTAATGCTGCTCTGGGTGTGTTTAGCCTCAACTGTTTTGTGATTTTAACTTTTCAAGTAAAAAATTATCTATAACTTTTTGAATAAACAGGCTCCCTATGGTAACGATTAGTCTTATTATTGTTCTCTGCTTTGATTTATTTGTAATAAAATAACCTTGTTTACATTGTTTTTAAACAACCAGTAATGTAGCAGCTAATCAGGTTCATGGTAGAAAAATGGATATTTATATTTTTTTACTGTCACACATCAATCATGATGATCTCTAATAGATGTTAAAGTAAAAACCTAATTGTATGGGGCTTATATTGGAAATTTGTTATGACATTAGCAGGTATTGACTGCAGCTCTCTAACCCCTCTCTAATAACTAATTTTTGGCTTAAACCGTTGGGGATAGTGGGGAAAACGGTGTTTAATTTTTATTAATAATAAAGTCAGTTTTGGCTGGTTTAGTTACTCTCCTTATAGCTGGTTATTGCATCCTAGAGACATACTGTTTGACATGTTTTTGTCTTTTCCTCAATACATTTTTGCACAAATCATTTCTATTGGTTTTCAAACCTTTTGTGAGACTTAATTTGATCATATAGTGAGCGTTTAGTCTTTATTGTATGGGTGGCCCATGCCAAATAAAGAATCAGCACTGAAAGCCTCCATGTAGAGAGCTGGACTATAGAGAGACACCAGGTTTATTTGTTTTGCCAAGATTTCAATCACTGTAAAGTTCTGTTCAAAGAATTGCATCATGTATCTTCTAATATTTTAAAAAGTTCTTTTGTGTGTGTACCACAATTTATAAGACTTTTTAAAAGCTCATCGGATTGGAATGTAAACAGCTGTATCTATCTCAACATATAAGTGGAAAAACTGCAGCTGTTATTAAAATTTTTATTAATGTACTCTTCCGGATCCATAGGAAAGCTTTTTGTACTGTTTTATTGTTATTTTGTAGCCCTGAAAAAATTGGCCATCCTTAAATTAACATCAAAATTAACTTAATTAGCACTGGCCTTAATGGAAAAATAAAAGATATGTAAAAATTTAACGAAATTCTTCCGCTATTGCAGAAAAGCAGGGAGGCTAAAGCGAACTGTCAGCTAATTAATACAGGTTGCTAGAGTCTGAATCTTTCTTAACAACAACACTTTTTACCTAACATAAATAAAAGCTTTATGTTGCACTGTTAGGCCTACATGCCAGGGTCCTACTCATTTGCATAAGTACACACTGGACTTTTTTTCTCCACTGACAAGTCAGAGGCAGAAATTTGTTTAAAACAAAATATGATCATAAAAATAGAAAGTGGGCAAATCACTTGCAAATGTGTTTTTTTTTCTAGCTTGTACAATTACTCTCTTCCTACCCCCTCTATAAAAACTGAACCAAAATAAAGGGTAAATAGAATAAAAAATCCTGCTATCTGTGTAATTTCTGCTTATATTTCCTGCTGTGTTTCTCCCCTACAGAGAAAGCAACCAGTGAGATGAACACGGCTGAGGATTGGGGCCTCATTCTGGACATATGTGATAAGATAGGACAGTCCCGCACTGGGTAACTTAACCTTTATTTTAAAGTGGAACATAAAACTATTTGGTTTTCTTTTGCATTTTTTTTTTCTTTTTTTATTGTATACATGTGGTGTTGGATGATTGAATAAATATTTACAAGTAGTTTGGTTTAAAAATATTCAAACTCTCAGAATTTTGCATGCTTTGTCGTATAAAACAACACACTTTTTGCTTTCAAGTGAGGTGCACATTTGTTTTCAGCCCCAAGTCCATATTTTGTAGAGCCACCATTTACTGTGGCCGTGGTTCCAAGTCGTCATGCTCTTCTTCAGCTTCAAAGCTTTTCAATTTCTTTTTTATTTGAAAAAAAAATGTTTCAACCTTAGTCAAACGCGTCTATCCACATAACATTCTCAGTTTTTCCAGAAATTATAAATTTCTTTCAGGTTTTGGATTTATGTTGGCCCATTGTAGCATGAATATTGTTTGATCCACACCATTGTGTTGTAATTCTAAACACAGGTTTTGACTCATTGTATTTTTAAGCATCTTGCATGTTTTCATCCAGGATCGCCCTCTCTTTATAATTTATTAATCTTCACATCAACTCTGAGGAGCTTTCCTGTCTTTGATGAAGAGAAGCATCCTTAGATCAAAATGTTTTTACAACAGAGGAAAATTTTATTTATTTATTTATTTTTTGGATGGTGTGCGGTTTTCTTTTCTGCTTGAAACGTCATCTGAAAAGAGTATCTTCCATGCTGTGCCCCCTGAATAAGTACAAATGGGATGTCCTATGGCTTTCTTTCCCATAAAGGCCTGATTTGATAAGTGGCACAAAAAGAAACAGCATGGCAGAACTGTAGTTTTCCTTTCAAGTAATTATTCCACCTCAGCTGCAAATCGCTGTAGCTCCTCTAGAATGACATGGGCTTCTTGGCAGTTTGTTTGATTAATGCCTCTTTTGCCTGTTTGCTAAGGTGTATGGCCATTTCTTTATAGTTTTTAAGTGCTTAGAGATGCTCAAAGCTTGCATTTTTTTTTCTTTTTTTTAAGCTTGGACCTGCTTTTGACATCCAAACTGCCTACTTTATTCCTTGGTCTTAATGATGTTATATATTCACTGTTGTTCTTAAACAATCCTTCAAGGCCTTCAGAAAACAGAGCTTATGAGTTTAAATAGCAGACAATGAACTGTGTTTACTAAATAGGGGATTTCTTTGGTCACTTGGTTACACTGGGTTTAATTTCAGGGTATCAGGGGAAAGGAGCCTGAAAACAAATTGTGCTTCTAACTTTTTGCATTTTAATTTGTGTTCAAAACCTAAACAGTTCAATTTCTCTCTATGTACAGCTATCTAGTACTTTGATGTTGGCTTGTTAGTAAGATATCTCAATAAAATAAAGGGAAGTTTATGGCTTTAATGTGGAAAAAATTCAAGGCTTATACTTTTCAAAGGGACTGTAACCTTTCTTCTGTTCACTCCTTCAGACATCTGAGTTCTGCTTGTTCCTTTCAGGCCTAAAGAATGTCTGCGCTCTATAATGAGAAGAGTAAATCACAAGGATCCCCACGTGGCCATGCAGGCATTGACTGTAAGTAAACTGTAAACAAACAGCCTTGTTTTGCATACAGTTAGGCCTGGAAGGATTTGAAGGCTATGGTGTTGGGTTACGCTATGGTGTTGGGCATTATCCAGGTGCCTTTTTGCCCCTTAATCAAAAAATATGTAGAATACTAGCACTTACTATTGTTATTGTTGTAATTGCTCTTACTATTATGATTCTTATTGTTGGTTTGGTTTTGTATTTATAATCATAAAATCTTTCTACTTCTTTTTTTTCTTTTCTTTCATTTTTTTAAACACAACACTGAATTAAAAACATATTATTAGTTTCCTAGTATACTCGCATCGAAAATTTTGCCGTTGAATATTTTTGTCCAGACATTGCTGAAAAATGCATTTTTGGTTTTCGTCCAATAGCCATTTAAAACCGGAAAACATGGCAGAAACTTGTGATGATGCGACAAACAGCACAGCCAGCAGGCAGACACGCTATGAAACGCATGAAGTAAAGCACTAAAGCAGGAGTGCACAGGTTGCAAAGCAGAGTTTTTCTGAGTTGAGTGCACAGCACACAGATTTTGAGTGAGGGGGAGCAATTTAAATGCAGCACATCGCTCTCAATGCATGCCCAGGCCAGTGGCACAAAATGCCATAGAAATCCAAAACGTCCCTGTCACTATTCTGAATCATGTTAGTGATCATAAGGCATGTGTGTGGTTTTTAGTTGGATTTTTATTCTGACAAGGAGCTTTAAACTGTGACATTTGATTTTTACTGCACTAGGCTCCTTCTCTCAGTACAAAGGCTTGTCCTTGGACTGTCAAAAAGTTTTAAATTGTCCTTCTGGGAATTTGTTTTCAGAAACTTGAAAACAGTTCTTTTGAAGCCTGTTGCAGTGCAGAAGGAATTGAAGTGACTTGATATTTTTTCCAGCTCTACATTTGTAATTAAAAATAAAAAAAATTGGCTAAACATTTAGACTCTTGATTATTCTATTAATAATCTGCATGCAATGCTTTGTGTGATTTTTACAGAATGCAAACCAGATGAAGCAGCAACATTGCCTCTTAAAGTGTACAGGGGTCAGATTCATGAAGCAGGTTTAACAAAATCAGTTTCAAATCTAAAAACTCGAAATTGATCTAGCCTAAAGTCGGGAACTCTGAGTGTTCGGTTTTACAATGGCTGCTATCAATTAGTTCAATCAATTTTAACTACTCAGAGTTAAGCGCGTGCGCAGCTTAAGTGGAACCCCAACAAGAAGTGCCTTTTTCAACCCATTGGAACTAGAGATTTTATATTGCAGAAATAAAAAAAATAAAGTAAAAAAAGGAGAATGTGTTTAAAAGACAGAGAAACAGCGCTACAGTACAAAGGGGTGAAAGGTGGCATAGGAGAAGATTGTTGCTCGAGTTAATGCGTAAGATTATATGAGGTGGGCTATGGTAAGATCTTTTTACTCTTCTCTGTTGCCATTTGTAGGTCACTGAAATAAGATCCTTCCTGATCAAAATCACACTCCTAGACCTAACTGTAGAAATATATTTTTTTAAATACATTTTTGTAGCAGAAACTGAATTTGAGAAAAAAACAACAAAAAAAATTATACTGCTAAGAATTACGTTTTATATATCTAGAAATGTTTACACATTTTAAATGTCCGCTCTGACATTTGTATTTGAAAATGTATTTATGATATCTAAAAAAACATTTTTTCATAGTTAAAATGATACAAATGCTCTGTCGGTGGCTCTTTAAGCACTTGACACCCTTAAGCATATGTATACTGCACTTAGAGATTATTCAACCACTAAATTAATTGATGACTAATTTGATAATCAATTAATCTGCTATATTATTTTAGCTGTAGCTTTAACCTAGCAATGAAAAAGCACACTTGTTGGTTGCAAAGAGACCAACGACCACTCTGAAATTTAATGCCAAAAGAGAAACTGTTCAGTGGGTTTAACAATGTATTCTTTTATCTGTCTATCAATGTAAAGTTTTTGACTTTTGAAGCCTTTTTTAAACATTGGTATGAGTTAATACCACACCATGGCTACTAAACCTGTATATCAGGTCAAACTTAAAGCAGAAATTTACTGTTTTGGAGTGAACATAACTTATGCAAGCAATATACTTGCTATAAAATATGCTAATTGCAAAGAAAATTCTGCAAAGTTATTTTTTATGACATTCTTAAATGTATTTATGTCATATTTAATTATGGACGCATCCATTGAGTCCAGCATTTTCTATGACCTCTCACCCTCTTGACATAAGGCAAGCCTCCCATGATAAGTGGTGCATTTTTTCATTTTTAATTTTCTTCTTGAAAAAAAAAAATGAAACGCAACAAAGAAAAAAAAAATAAAAAATCATCATTAATGATGTTATTCCCATCCGACCTTTAGCAGGATTAAGTAATTAGTAGTAGCCAGTTGACAGCTAACTTATTTTACTTAACTGTTTAATAATCTATCGTTAGTTTCAACCATTCAAGTAAAAAACCTTTCTTGAAAAACTGGGTCATGGTATTGTGCGCCTTTCTCCCTCTCTCCTCTTTCTCCTTTATTTCTTTCCTTTTTGAAACCCAGACTTTGGGGTGCTGCATTTTTCAGACATGGACGTTTTTACTGCTGCTTATTTGTACATTTTCTTGTAAATTTGTTTTATCACTATGTCACTGTGGCACTTAAAGGGGTCATAGAATGATTATACAGGGTATTTGGTGCTGGTCCTTAAGGTCTCTATATAGGGTGTGTAACATTGGTTGGGCTGAAAAAGGCATATTTGCTGTTCTATGAGCCCTAATGCAAGCCTGGTTAAAGGCCCTAGAAAGAAACGACAGGTTTTCTTCCCTTTATGGTTTGCTCATGAATATTTAGATGAGCTGTGCGCTGATTGGTTGGTTTACAATGACCTAAGCTGCTGAACAAAGACGCATCATAGCAACAAGCACTCACTCACTGAAACATCAAGATTGTTGATATGGTAGAGAGACCAGACGTCCTCCTTTTATACCTAAAAAAATGTTTGGGGGGAATTTCAAAATTTTCCGGGATTTTGGTCGACTACAATGCAGCAGAACCGAGCCGTGAGCTCCAGGACTGGTCGGCGCTGGGGACGGAGCAACCGAACCTGACCCGGTGACGGGGGGAAGGGTTTGGTCGCTCTGTCCCCATCTGCCGGGGTTTTCGGACCAACCCCTGAGCTCACGGCTCGGTTCAAATGCCCGGTCCGGTCCAGTCAGCAGCCCAGCAGCAACAGCTTGCGGTTGTGATGACCTTACGTTGGAAACAGCTCCTCGTCTCATTAAAAGAAGTGTAAGTGGGTGTATATATAATCCTGCTTTTTTCACTCTTTACTGCTGAAAAATGAAGGAGAAAACAAAGTTTATTTATTTCACTGCTGAATTTATATTTAAAAAGTATAGTAGCACATATCTTTTCTTCTTCTTTTGGGGCCCCCCTCAGTCAAGGGCCCTTAGAATCTTCCTAACTCACCTTGACCTTACTGAAACAGGCTGAAACTCCAAATACTATTCCATAAACACAGCTCTTAAAGGTTCTGCTGAGCTAAACGGCAGTGTGACTTAAGTTGGTTAGTGCACTGTTAATTTGCTAATGGACGTTGTGAGGGCTGTATGTTCTCCAACTCACTAACGGATCACATATCCAATGCCTGTGTTCCTTGTTGCAAATCACTCGGATACAAAAGAACCAGATTTATTTTTGTCATATATTTAAATTTGGGTTGCAGCTTTTAAATAATTGCATCCTGTTCTCTCTGTCTATGCAGCTCCTGGGTGCTTGTGTTTCAAACTGTGGTAAAATCTTCCACTTGGAGGTTTGTTCCAGAGAGTTTGCCAGTGAAGTCAGTAATGTCTTAAACAAGGTCTGTGGTTAATTTGAATTGCAATTTCCAATAGTTTCTCTTCCATAAATATAGAAATAAATTGAATAATTCTCTAACTTGGTTCTAATTAGGGTCACCCAAAAGTATGTGAAAAGCTGAAGGCACTGATGGTGGAGTGGGCTGAGGATTTCCGCAATGATCCACAGCTCAGTCTCATCTCGGCGATGATCAAAAACCTACGTGAGCAAGGTGTCACCTTTCCAGCTGTGGGTTCCCAGGTAGATCTTTAGGAATACACAAAATAATGTGACTTATTTTCTTCATTCTGTTAAAGTAGATGCAGCACAGTTTAACTTGCCTACACAAGGCTAAATTATTGTTCATTTTTCTGAGATATAATGACCTTTTTTCAGGCTGCAGAACAAGCAAAAGCAAGTCCAGCACTGGTGGCAAAGGATCCCTCCACCACAACAAATAAAAAAGAGGAAGAAGATCTAGCCAAAGGTACAAAGGCTTCAGAAATAATAAATAACGGGTGTAGAAATAAATCTTTACCCAATCTGTATGTACCTTTGCACATTTGCTTTTGGTATAAATGCTCAATCTTCTCCCCATTGTATGAAGCTATTGAGCTGTCACTAAAGGAGCAACGTCAGCAGCCACAGACCTCCCTGTCGAGCCTTTACCCAAGCACTTCCAGCCTGCTCTCCACACACAAGTCTGACGGCAGAAAGGTCCGCGCCATATATGACTTTGAGGCTGCAGAGGACAATGAGCTCACTTTTAAGTCTGGAGAAATCATCACCATCCTGGATGACAGGTGAACTTAGATAAAAAGTTGAAATTAGTAGCCTTAAACATTTGTTTCGTGGTATATAACATTTTACTAATTGTAGTTTACTTCTGAAGGACAGTGCATGTTTTAACTGAAACATATATTTTTTAAATGAGTGGTGCCTAATTATTTTATAATATTAAAGTTTAAGTAAACTCACCACTTACAATTGTTAAAGACATATTTTTCTTTTTTTTTTTTTTAGCGACCCCAACTGGTGGAAAGGGGAAACGTACCAAGGAGTCGGCCTGTTTCCCTCCAACTTTGTCACTGCTGATCTCACTGCTGAGCCCGAGATGAGTAAGTATTAAAAATATCTAGGAATATCTTCAGATATCACTAACCCTTTTTATAATTACTGTATTTAGTAATGCCATAACGGCTTTATGGAAACTGGAGTGGAAGATAATTTATCATTTGTAAACAACTGGTGTACATCATTCAGATTCCAGTGACTGATAGTCTGATCCACACATCCAATAAAAGCCCCACTCCATGTTTCTATATAATGAACCACTAAGTGTGTAGGGCTTTTAGCAAAAGTTCCTGCTTAACACAGAGCATCGTAGCATAACTCATTTATTTCGATGCTTTATCTGTTTCCTTTAGTGTTTTCTTTGCAACATTGCAGTGTCATTCCTACGCAAATATTTACAAAAGTTTAATGTAAATTGATTAATGCAATTTTACAAGCATATAGCAAATGATTTTGTTTGTACATTGGATAAAATAATTGATGCTGTATTTGTGAAGGGCTGGGCAAAAAATAAATACAATATGCAAAGTGACACACACCTGATCGATATCAATAGAAAATGCGTCAAGGATCTTATGTTAAGTCATTAAACTAAGATCCAGAACAGCACAGCATTCTAGAGGATGCAGGCTGAGGAAAAGATTTAGCCTCTCAACGTCTCATGACCAAGCTAAGCAAGGCTGGTGGTAGAGCTGACCTTAGTGGGCTCATGGTTACAATTGAAATTTGAATCTTTATTTCAAATGGATAAAAAAAAACATAATTTTTGATACCGACTGATAATAAACTAAGATATGAAAAGCTTATATTGATTATATATTGATGCTGATGTTATATTGATGCTATAGCCCGATATTGATGCTAAGATACATTTTTTTATTTAATTCTACAGAGGGGGGCTTAATCCTTGGGTATTAAATCTGTATAATTTTACTTTTCTCGGTTTTTATGTTTAGTCGTTGACTGTGGCTATCTTTTTAAAATTGAAAACCTGATTTAAGCATGAATCATTGTGAGGTTATGTAAGTTTAATAAAAATAAATATTTGATCTCCTTTTTTTTTTTTTTGAAACAGTCTGAAATTATATTTCTGATATCATGCAAGTGTTTTCATTTTAGCCAGCAAAGACATTATTGCACCAGCCACTGCTTAAAGAAAATAATACTTACTTAATACTATTCTAAAAATATATTGAACTAGATCTGCTATTTTCACAACTTTTGTGAGACACTTTTGTATAAAGTAGGGTATTAATTCATAAAGTTTATCTGAATTCTATAAATCAAAGTTTTTCACCCAACAACAATGATGAACTGTACAGCAGCATTTTATACCCATCAATTGTAGTATCTAGACAATAGCTGTCAGTCTGGTAAAGAATCTGGTTATTATTTGAAATTGTAAACATTAACTGTATTATGAAGTACAACATAAAACTGATCACATAATAATAAAAAAATAGTTTCCGTCCTGAAGACTAAAACTTAGACTAAATCTAAGATGGCTGTCAAAAACAACACTGGTACAGCCACACAAATATTTGTCTTTATCCATTATTTAGGTTATTGAACATTCTGATTGGTTGAAAGTTTGAATAATTGAGCTTTGTTTAGAAACTCCTGAAATTTTATACATGTTCTTTGAAAAAGATGTAAAGATGGAAATTTGTGAAATTAAAAGTTACATACCTCCTAGGCTACTTTCTCTCTTTGCCAGTTAATAAGACATTAATCCATGTTGCAATCTGTTTTATCATGGAGGTGTTTCTTTTTTTAAACGTGGACTTGCTGTTTGCTCTGAAGCTCATCTATGGGCTGCCTTGAGAATATATATACCACACTGTGGATGCTGACGCCTGAGCTGTTGCAATATGTCCCCAGTGGACCAACGCTTATAAAGTAGTAATAGTTCCACCTTTATAGGGATGACGAGTGGAGCACCTTTTGTTTCCACATCTTACAATTGCAGTGCGAAACAATATTATACACCATTATACACCAACACCATTATATGCTTGATGATGGATTAATAAAAGTCAGGACAAACATGAGATGATTTGAAAGTGTAACTGAATAAAATTGGAAGAAGATGTCAGTTAAAGAAACAAATAAATGCTTATGTTTCTTTGGCAACAGGTGGACTTAAAAAACGAACTATAAAGGATCTACATATTAGTATGTTATCTAAAGCCGGAGGCATCGATAACCTTTAACAGATTTTACTTATATCATATAAAGGTTTTTTTTGTTCAAATAAATATTGCTTGCTCTATGTCCCCATTTGTTAATTTGCAGTAAAAACCGAGAAGAAGACTGTGCAGTTCAGTGAGGAGATCCAGGTAGAGACAATAGAGCCTGAACAGGAGCCTGTATATATAGACGAGGTAAGTTCCCTTCTGTGACTGGCATTAGTTCCATCAGTAAGGACCTTTTAGCATCACATTTTAAAGTTGGTACTTGCTAATGTTAATATGAGTGGTATTTACTAAATTTAGTTTTTTTTGGTTCATGTAGATTTAAGCCATCACATAAACTTTAAAACTTTTTAGGACAAGATGGACCAACTGCTCCAAATGATTCAAAGTGCAGATCCTACTGACAACCAGTCAGACAGCGTTGAGTTACTTCAGCTGGAAGGTAAAAATATGAGCGAAATCAGTGGATAAGAATGTAGTTAAAACTCTAGATGGTTTATCAGAGAGAAAACAAGCAATCTTAGTTTTTGTTTTTTTGTTTTTTTTTTCCTCAGGTGCCTGTAATCAAATGGGACCCCTAATTGACCAGAAGCTGGAGGATATAGACGGGTATGTTGGTCCCTTCTCTTCACCATGGTTAATTAATCATGTATTCTAATGGCTTATAGCATGTTAAGTCAAATTATTACCGTATTTTCACGACCATAAGGCGCACCGTACTAAAAGGCGCACTCTCAGTTATGTGTCCCATTTCT